AACTTCTGGCCGAGATATGTGTCTAACGGTCAAGCCTTTCAACCGTGTAGATTGTCGACTCCTCTTCCTGGAAAATGTCTTTCCGGATGCCTGAGGAGATGGTGGAGGAGATGGTGGAGGAGATGCCATTTACCTGTAATGAAAAAAACATAGAATTATATCAATACACATGCAAAGTCTCCTCAATTACATGTTAAAAAAATAAATAAATAGAAACATAACTTAGATTGTATTAATATTTTCCCATATGCCTTCATCATGGTCATTGCGAGTAGCATGAACAAAGTCCTCTTCCAATTGGGATATAGCAATAGGCAACCGTGGTGAACTTTGAATGTTAATAAAATCATCTAATTCTTCTCCATTCTCATTTGTGACATCAATCATTTTTCCTTTGAGGACAACTGACCACCTATCATTTGATGGATCAGTGACATAAAACACTTGTTTTGCCTGGTATGCCATTATGAAGGGTTCTTCCTTATGACCAATCTTGTTTATATCAATCAAAGTAAATCCCATTTGGTCTCTTTGGACACCAGTATTGCTATCAACCCATTTACATTTAAATAAAGGCACTTTGAATTTAGTATAGTCGACCTCCCAAATCTCCTCAATCACTCCAAAGTAACTAATTGATGCCATGATGGGGTTTTTGTCCTTTGCACTAGAAAAGTGCATAGATGTTGCCTCAATAGATACTCCACTATTCTGGACCGTACTTTTGTCATCTTGTGCCTTCGTATAGAATGAGTATTTGTTAATGTCATACCCTTGCCAAGTTATAACATTATGTCTAGGCCCATGTGCTAGCCATTTCGAGTGTATCAGAGGCATTGTCACTTGAAAATATTTTGCTTTGAAACCAATTGATAAAGTTGTTGTTATGCTCTTTCATCAACCACCTTTCACCCATTTTGGGGTTTAGGTCCTTTAACATTGCTTTATGCGCATCTATGTAAGGAATAACCTCTTCTGTATTGTTCAAAATATACAAGTGGGCGGTGGTCAACTCTACATGATCTTTTGTTTGAATTCTAATACAACGAGTTCCCTTACCATTTAGCCTATCATCATGACGATTTCTAGGTACACCCACGGTACAACTCTTGCCAAGTAATCCGAACAAAATTCTATGGCTTCTTCCGCAATATACCGCTCAACAATTGAAGCTTCAGGTCTATATGGATTTTTAGAATACCCTTTGAAGATCTTCATGTATCGCTCAATTGGGTACATCCACCTCAAATAAACCGGCCCACAAATTCGTATCTCCCTCACAACATGAACGATTAAGTGAATCATTATATCAAAGAATGATGGAGGAAAATACATCTCCAATTGACATAGCACAACCGTAGCCTCATTTTCCAACTCATCTAGTGATTTTTCATCGATAACCTTGGCACAAATAGAATTGAAGAAAAAACATAGTCGCATAATGGCATGTCTAACATTCTTAGGCAATATGTTACGTATAGCCACGGGTAACAAGTTGTTGCATCAAAACGTGACAATCATGGGACTTTAATCCAATTAACTTCAGATCTTTCATGGATACAAGACTCTTAATATTTGAAGAGTATCCTTGTGGCACTTTAATACTTGCAAGACAATGACATAAACTACGTTTCTCCTTCTTTGACAAGGTGTGACATGCTGGTGGTAGATATGTTCTATTGCCTTCAGGCCTTGGATGTAATTCAGGACGTATTCCCATCTCACAAAGGCCTTGACGTGCTTTGATCCCATCCTTTGACTTTCCTTGAATGTTTAACAATGTGCCAATGAGACTATCACATACATTCTTCTCCACATGCATAACATCAATACAATGTCGTACTTCTAAATGGCTCCAATATGGAAGATCAAAGAAAATTGATCTCTTCTTCCACATGTTCTTGTAAGAAGACCTTTTTTGGGTCTTTCCAAATGTAATGCTTATGTTCTTCACTCGATCGTAAACTTCTAAACCAGTCAGTGGTTCTCTGGCAATTTCATCCTCCTGTATGCCATTAAAAGCTTTCTTCAGTCTACGGTATGGATGGTCATGCGGGAGAAATTTTCTGTGCCTGTTATAAACTGTCTTCTTTCCATGTTTCAATTGTATATAACTGGTCTCTTCTTCACAAATAGGACAAGCATAATGCCCCTTCACACTATACCCACTCAAGTTTCCATAGACAGGGAAGTCATTAATGGTGCAAAATAACATTGCATGCAACTTGAACTTCTGCTGCTGATACCCATCAAATGCATCTACTCCTTCCTCCCATAATAGTGTTAAGTCTTCTATCAAAGGACTCAAATACACATCTATGTCATTTCCTGGCTGTCTTGGACCTGAAATCATCATACACAACATGACATATTTGCGCTTCATGCATAACCATGGTGGAAGATTGTAAATCATCAATAAAACGGGCCATGAACTATGGTTACTACTTAAATTTCCAAAAGGATTCATCCCATCTGTTGCTAATCCAAGTCTAAGGTTTCTTGCATCACTACCAAAACTTGGAAATAGACGGTCAAAATTCTTCCATTGGGGAGAGTCAGATGGATGCCGCATTTGCCCATCACATGTTTTTCTCTTTGAATGCCAAATTAAATTTTCAGCATCTTCGTGAGCGTACAACCGCCTAAATCTTGGAATAATTGGAAGATACCATAAAACTTTTGCAGGAGGACGTTTTTTACCACTCTCCTGACTACAATCATCACCATCCTTCGCTTTGTAACGTGATACACCACATGTTGGACATTGGTCTAAAGATGAGAATTCTTTCCTATATAACACACAATCATTAGGGCAAGCATGTATCTTCCTATATTCTAAACCCATCGGACATAGTATCTTCTTCGCTTCATACATACGGTCCGGCAAGGTGTTATTGTCTGGGAGCATCTCCTTCAAAAGTTGGAGTAATTCATTAAAACTTGTATCACTCCAACCAAATTTGGCTTTTAGATTGACCAATCTTAACACAGATGACAACCGTGTGAAAGTTGTACATCCGGGATAGAAAGGTGTCTCTGAATCGGTCCTCAATGTATCATATATAGATGCATGTGCTTCAAGAAACCTCTCTTGACCCACATCACAAAGCATGTCCTCTATTCGATCTTCGCAGGTTACATCATCCTCAATAGTTTGTGATACTGTTGGAATATGAACCACTTCACCGTGCCATGTCCATATTGTGTAATTCTTCATCATCCCATCGCAAATAAGATGCTCCCGCGTTGTGTCCATCTCTTGTACTCTGCCATTTACACAATTAACGCATGGGCAGTAGATTTTTCCATTCATTTTGGGAGCATTTTGTTCTAAGCAAATTTCAAAAAGGAGTCAACTCCATTCTCATACTCTTCTGACATACGACTTGCATTGAACCAAGTTCGATCCATCTAACTACATAAGAAGGCTTGCCTAGATATTCAAGGTTTATTAGAAAAGGTTTAACAAAACAATACAAAAAAAACGTGTACATTGCCTAACAATGCTCTAATGTTCCATACATGCTCTAATGTTCCATATACCACTTCGAAAGCTAAAGCTAAAGCTAAACCTAAACCTAAACCTAAACGAAACCTAATGTTCCATATACCACTTCGAAACCTAAACGAACCTAGATCAAATCAAACCATATATACAAAATCATCCATCATCTTTCTAATGTTCATACGCAGGAAATGCTCTAAATAATTCATATTTATGTTAAATGCATGTTGTAAATCATCCATGCAACTTAATCTAACCTGATGAGAGCGCGGCGAGTGGGCGGCGAAGGAGGTAGCAGCGGCGAGGGGGCAGAGCGCGGCGAGTGGGCGGCGAGTGGGCAGCAGACCACAGCGAATGAGGTAGCAGCGGCGAGGAGGCAGAGCGAGGGGCCGGCGAACTGGGCGGCGAAGGGGCGGCGAGGGGGCGGCGAGGGGGCAGCAGTGAGGACTGAGGCACAGAGAAGAAGAAGCAGAAGGAGGGAGTATGTGGGACGAAGAAGAGGCAGACGAAGGGGAGCGCGAAAGGCGAGAGGTATAAAGGACATTCAACATCGGTTATTAAAAACCCGACGTGGATAACGCTTTCGACGTCGGGTAAATCATATAACCGACGTTGATTTTGGGAATTCAACGTCGGTTATACATAACCGACGTTAAATTTAAACATTTAACGTCGGTTATTATGTAACCGACGTTAAATTTTGCCTCATGTCGTGATAGCCTCATCTGTTTTAATCGATTGAAACGAGATTTAATCGATTAAAATAGTTCTGATCGATCATCCTGACCCTTTAAGAGATTTTAATCGATTGAAACGTGTTTTTAATCGATTGAAAAAATTCTGATCGCTCATAATTAAAATCTGATCGATCACATTTGATTCTGATCGGTCATATTTGTATTCTGATCGGTCATAATGAGTTCAGAAGGGTTTTCAACGTCGGGTGAGGGCATAACCGACGTCGAAAGGCTACTTTTCCACGTCGTGCATGCTAAAACGACGTAGAATGTGTCAAAATTCGACTTTCGACGTCGGTTGTTGACCAACCGACGTTGAAAGCATGTTCAACGTCGGCTAAGATGTAACCGACGTTAAACAGCGACGTTGAAAGTATATTTTCTAGTAGTGAATACTTTTTAAAAAACAAATGAATATAAAAGTATTCTGAAAACCAAACTAATTTCATCATCTTGTGTTTATATGTGAATTTGGTACATTCTTACACTAAAACTATTTACTTGTTTATAAATTTGCTCAAAAAGAAAATAATTGAATTCAAACATGCACGCAATATTCCCTCATTTAATTTCTCAATAGTCTTTGACATATTGACGATTGGTGTCATCATAAATATCAATTTTATGCATACAACATGTATGGGTATAGTAATCTAATCATATGAAACAAATCCACTTTCACTTTATTATACAATTGATGTCATCATAAATTTCACTTTTATGCATCAATTAACAGTAGCACCTAATTTATGTTGTAGAATCACAAACTTGTTGTGGTGGAAGCTGATGGAAACTATGTTACACCATTTGCGGTTGATGATATGGATATTTACTCTGGAGAGTCCTACTCAGTTCTCCTTCGCACAGATCAATATCCAAACAAAAACTACTGGCTTTCAGTTGGGGTTAGGGGAAGAAAACCTAACACCACACAAGGCCTAACCATTCTGAACTACAAGTCAATCTCTGCCTCAGTTTTTCCAACTTCTCCACCACCTATCACACCCATTTGGAATGATTTTGAACGTAGTAAAGCATTCACCAAGAAAATCATTGCCAAGATGGGAACCCCACAACCTCCAAAACGTTCTGATCGTACAATTTTCCTCCTCAACACCCAAAATCGCATTGACGGGTACCAAATGGTCCATTAACAATGTGTCCCTAGCATTGCCACCAACCCCTTACTTGGGGGCCATCAAGTTCAAACTAAACAATGCTTTTGATCAAACACCTCCACCTGTGACCTACCCTCAAGACTATGACATTTTCAACCCTCCTGTGAATCCTAATTCAACCATTGGCAATGGGGTGTACAAGTTCAACCTTAACGAGCACTACTACAAAATATACTTTCTACGTCGTCATTTAACGTCGGTTATAGCTGAGACGACGTAGAAAGTACTTTCCACGTCGGTTCTAGATGAACCGACATTGAAAGTTGAAAATTAAACACATTCTACGTCGGTTCTTAGTCAACCGACGTAGAAAGTACTTTTACGTCGGTTCCCATATGAACCGACGTTGAAAGTCTTTTTTTTTATTTTTTTAGTTATTGACACTTTCCACGTCGGTTCCCATATGAACCGACGTGGAAAGTCATTTTTTTATTTTTTTCACCCAAAAATTCAATTAAATTTGAAAATTGTCACCGCCAGGATTCGAACTCGGGATTTTAGAATTGGAAACTAATACTCTAACCACTAAACTATTATAATTTCCCGATAATAACTTACAAATAAATTATATTTATATACAAATAAATATATATCCATGTAAATATATATTTATTTGTATATATTTTCTGGAAAGTATTTTTATTTTTTTTCAACCAAAAATTCACTTAAGTTGATGAATTGTCATCGACAAGCATTTGAACCCAATATTTTAGGGTTGTAAGTTAATATCCCAACCACTAAACTACTACAATTTTTTGATAATAACTTACAAATAAATTATATTGGTATTTTTTGACCGAGGGTGAAAGTGTGATTGACTCTCGCTTGAGTGAAAATATGTTAAAGCTCACTGAAATTCACTCACTCAAGTCTCGCTTGAGCGAAAATTGGTATTTTTCGCTTGAGAGCGAATAACGCGTTTCCCAAATTTATTTTATATTATTATATAAATAAAATTATAAAGATTATATTATGTCATTAAATTACAAACTCATATAAAGATACCGCTCACAAATTTAGCATCAAATTTTGAAAACCTACTCGACACACACTTTCACTTTCGAGTGTACCCTCACATTCAACATATAAATATATAACTATATAAATATATCAAAATATATAAATATATTTGTATTTATATATTTATATATTTACACGGATATATATTTATTTGTATATAAATATAATTTATTTGTAAGTTATTATCAAAAAATTCCAGTAGTTTAGTGGTTGGAGTATCGACCTCAAACTCTAAAGTACTGGGTTCGAATCCTGCCAATGACAATTCTCTTAAAAAATTAATAAACTTCTAAAAAATATAATATAAAGAGATGGAGGACCTAATAAAAATTTAATATAAAGAGAGGGAAGACTTCTAAATAAATAAAGGGGTAAAGGGGTTGTAAATAAATAAACCGACGTTGAAAGTTACGGACTTTCAACGTCGCCTGATACAATGTCGGTTGTTGAAACCGACGTTGAAAGCCTTCCAGAACCGACGTTGAAGTCTTTATTTGTAGTAGTGGAGGTTGTTGATGTGATATTGCAAAATGCAAACCAATTGAGTGGGAATGGTAGTGAGATTCACCCTTGGCACTTGCATGGGCATGACTTTTGGGTATTGGGGTATGGAGAAGGCAAATTCAAACAAGGTGATGAGAAGAAATTCAACTTGACACATGCACCATTGAGGAACACTGCAGTTATTTTTCCATATGGTTGGACTGCTCTGAGGTTTAAGGCAGATAACCCAGGTGTTTGGGCCTTCCATTGTCACATCAACCACATTTGCACATGGGAATGGGTGTGATTTTTGCTGAGGGTGATCACAAAGTTGGAAAAATCCCAAGGAAAGCACTAACTTGTGGGCTTACCGGGAAGAAGCTAGTAGAAAATGGACACTACTGAAACTAGCCACACGACATATGCTTAATATATAGGGTCTTATTATGATTCCTTTGTTCTTCATAAAAATTTGGATTATTAAAACCTTGATCCATCACAAATTGTAATGTATTATTTCGTCACAAAAATCGTTTTAGTGAATGTTTAAGCGAGCTCCACTTAAATGAGGAATATATCATTTTAAATGAGCTCCACTTAGACAAAAAATATATGATTTAAAGTAAGTTGCACTTAATGGATAAATATTTTGTTTTAAGTGAACTATGCTTAAGCATGACATATATGACTTGAAGGGACGAAGTTTATGACACGTATGTATCGTAATTTTACGCTTAAAGCGTGTTCTTATTTATTTAATGATAAAGAAGATTGAAAAGAAGACAATTTGATGAAGTTAAAAAGAGGATTGTAGTCTAAAGATCCATTGAGTGTCCAGTTAATGTAAACAGTAACCCTACTTCAAGTCTTAGAACCTCTTTTACAAAATGTAAAAGAAAAAAGTGTCTCAAGATATTGTTGACCTGTTAATATTCTTTTTAATATGTTAATATGATCTTCTTTCATATTTTTAATCGATTAAATTCACTAAAAGAATAAGAACTTAATGTTTAACATTTTTAATCGATTCATTTTCGTTTTAATCAATTAAATTTATTTAAACATAAGAAGAATTTCAAGGTTCCTTGTTTTAATTGATTAATAGTAGTTTTAATATGTTGTTAACCTAAAATTGAAAAATTGGGCAGAATTGTTTTAATGGATTAATGCCATATTTTATCAAATAAATTGTTTATTGAAAAATCACAAAATTATTTTAATTGATTAATCCAAAAGTTGTATCAATTAAATTGTCTTTGGAAAATTCTCAAAAATATTTTAATCGATTAAACCAGATTTACATCAGCTTAAAACAACTTAAACAGGTTTTGCCACAAATTGTTTTTAGTTATTTTAATCGATTAAAATATGAATTAATCGATTAAAAGAAACAACTTTTCTCTAAACACTCCTACGTAAACAGATGTGCATCTTCAGATTAAATATACTTTTGAGAATACATTTGATGTATGTCATTTTACTCTTTATTTCTTGATCTAAGAGCATTTTCTAAGCTAACTATTTTCTTCATAAACCACACATTTAACATCTTTAAATTAAAAGCATAGCATAATTTAATTTTTCTTATTTGTTGCATTTTACATAGTTTTAGCATAATAAACAATATACATCCATACATCCATATTGCATATTTATTTTTCTTCTTTTGTAGGAGAGGTAATTTGAGATGGGTCAAATTGATATAAAAAAATGTCCAAATTGATTCCGTCAAGCTTTGCTCTTCTTGAAAGCCCAAGTTTGCTTGTGCAACTCACTTGCAGAATGTTACAAATGGAAATTTTGAATCAAACAAATTAACTGGTGCGGGAATCCAATTTAGCTGAATTAAAGACCAGCTGGAATCAAGAATTAAATGCAAATTAGTGCTAGATCACTCAAAATAAGAAAGAAGCTGACTATTTTCTTCATATCGAGTCCTAGAAATTTCTTTTCACAACAATAAGATTTTGCATTTATTAATTTGAGAAATATTTGATTTTATTGTAATTAATTTTAGGCTTAATTTCTCTTGTTCAAACCCCTATAAATAAAAGTCTTACGACAACCCACAATCACAATCTCCTTGCCTAGGGTGAGAATTGTTGTTTTGTCTCGTCCCTATTTTCTTTCTCTACTATCAGTTCTTAGTTTAGTTTTTTGTTAGGAGAGTTCATCTACTGCTATTATACTTCTGGTTTATTCTCTTTTATTTAATTTGTAATTTCTATTGAATTTTTCAATTTATCTTGTTTTAGTTATTTTATTTATTCAGTGCTCATTTTAATTTCTGCTATTTAATTGTTTAGAATTTTTATTCCAAGTATTGCATGTTTTTCATTTTCAATTCGTTTTGTTTCCAATTCGCAATTTAGTTTTAAAGTTATTGCCTTCAAAAATTTCAAATTTAATTATTGCACTATTTTATTTCAAAACAATTCTTGATTCTTGCACTTTTAATTAGAAACACTTTATTTTAATTTTATAAATTTTAGTTATTTAAATTCTGCATCAATTTAATTTTAATTACTACACTATTTTATTTTAAAGTAATTTTTTATTTCTGTCCTTTTAATTAAAAGCACTTTATTTTAATTTTATAAATTTTAGTTATTTAAATTCTATTTCTGTTCAATTTGATTGTTCTTTGATTTTTATTTTTATTATTCTGCATCAATTCTTTTTTTCACTTTTTTATTTACCACTTATTTACTGTTTTAGAGAGAATGATATATGATAATGAGTATGTTCCTATAATTGTGTTCTTGTGAGATTCGACACGAGTTAGCTATACTGCATTAGTTTAACAACTTGTTTATTATTTTTTATCAGTATTTTATGCGATCAAAACGTTTTTAATAATGGCGTCGTTGTCGGGGACACAATTATGTTGCATAACATTGTCTACTATCATTCTCTTTCTTTTTTTCTAATTTAATTTTTCTAGCTTTACCAAAGAAAAAAAAAACTATTTTGTTTGTACTCCTTAACCCTTCTCATAGGAAATTTTTATTAAGCCATCTTTGCAAGAAAATTCTTGAAAAATATTCTCATAGTAAACTCTAGATATAGCATGGTAGTGTGAAAGTGCATGTCTAGGAGGGTTTTGGCTAGGAAATAGGCATGACAACGGGGTGGGGCGGGGCCGGGTTTTGCCTCCCTGATCCCCGCCCCCGACTTTTTTAACCATCCCCGTCCTAGCTCCTGATCCCCATCGAGGTTAGAAATCAATGAAAGCAATGAGGGGGAGATTGATGGTAATGTAAAATATGTTCCTACATTCCCAAGAGATGATTTTGATGATAATTCAAGTTAATAACATTTAAGACTCAAGCAAGCCCAAGATGATTCCTGAAGAATGGATAGAGTGTTAGAATACTAGATATGGAGGTACAAGTTTGGTGAAGTGGTATTATGCATATGCCTCCAAAGCACAAGTGTGATAAAATTTCCTAACATGACATTTTTCACTATCATAACTGATTATGATGCATCAGAATTGAGAAATTGATTTTTACCCCGATATAATCGATCATGCTGAGGAGATAATCGATTATGCCAGTTCGAAATTCAAAAATATATTTGTTTTAAAGAATAAATATTTTTTAATATATCCTAATTTTTATCCACGAAAATATTAATGTCCAACGACCATTTTCTCGATGCTATTTTTCTATTTAATTAAGTTTTAATGGAAAATAAAAAATACACAATTACAGAATTCGAAAATACAATTTACATTCAATCAGTTTTTAGAAAAAAATTATGATCAAGACAATAGAAATATTTTACATGTTTTGAGAAAACCCTCTTCTCTATTGCCACATAGATATTTTACCAAAACCCTCTTCTCCATTGCGTACTGTGCTTTCATTATTAATCACACTTGTTCTTGGAGCTTGACATTCTACAAGCTTCTACAATTTTTTGTCTCTATTACCCAAGTGTGACTGTTCTTATTTTATTACCTTCATCCTTTATGGGCTTAAGTGGTTGATTGTTAAATTCCCTATTTAGGGTTTAAGTAGTCACTATCATTTTGTTGTGTTTTTTTTAGGGTTTCCTGTGTGGAAATTGTTCATCCCTTTGATTTGTTCAGGGAGGTGTTTTCATCATTTGATTTGTTCAGAGGAGGTGTTCATCTCTAGTGGGATTCTAGGGAGGTATTCATCCTTAGTGGGATTCTAAGGAGGTGTGTTCATCCTTTGATTTGTTCAGAGGAGGTGTTCATCCCTAGTGGGATTCTAAGGAGGTGTTCATCCTTAGTGGGTTTCTAAGGAGGTGATTGTCTTTTGAATTAGTTTACTTTTTACTGAGTTGATTGTAATTTGTGAACTGAATTTAAAAGATAGTGAATTGGGGTCACTCTTGTGTTAAGAGTTGACTGAGAATTGGATGTAGGGTTGGCTATATTCGAACCAGTATAAATCACTGTGTGCTCTTCTCTTTCCCTTATCTCTTTTTTACTGCATTACTCTCCTTACACCCCTTATTTTTATCTCTATCTTTCTCTATCTTGTTGATATTTTATCTTTCTGATTATATCACTTCCACTTTATCTTTGTTCAATTTGATAATTAAAATTGAATTAATAAATATTGGACATCTTAAAATAAATTTTTAATTTGACATCTATTTTAATTTGCGCATCTATTCATCCCCTCTAGATGCCATTTGTCTAACAATTAAGTCTTCATCCTAATCCCCATTGGGTTTCATGTTTCCCGTCTCCGTCCCATCCCCGGTCTATATTATTTTTAAAAAGATAATTATATTTATAATAAATTAATTTTATTATATATTTTTTTATATAAATAAATATTTATAATTTTACAATTTATAATTATTATTAATTAAATAAATATTTTAATTTATTATATTTATATTAAAATATATATGTAGAATAAATATTTAATCATTATTTATATATATATATATATATAATATTTATAACATTATTATTATTATTATTGTTATTATTATTATTATTATTATTATAATACTGCATTCAAATATTTGAATATTTATTACATTATTATTATTATTATTATAATATTATATTCAAATATTTGATTACATCTATAAGTTAATTTATTTTTAAGTTGTCATTTAAAAATATGACATATATAGTTCAAAAAGAAATATTTAATAAGTTAATTCTTATTTAATTAGTTTGAAGTAATAAAAGTTTAAATTATCAACTCTTTTTAATCCTTTAAAATACAATTATTTTATTAAGATAAAATTTGATATATGACAAATAAGAATAATAAGATAAAAAAATATGACATAATAAAACTTAATAAATATAAATTATAAATAAAATAATATTAATTACTACTAATATTTATGTAAAATATTTAGAAAAAGATGAAGAAGAAAAAAAATTAACTTTGTGTTCATCAAAA